TGAATCCCCAGAACAGCAGCCTCTCTTGCCTGTGACCACGTCCTCCTCCTCCTCCCCACTCAGCCCTGGACACAGCTTCCTCTCACCTTTCTGTGCTCGAGAGGCAGCCCCCAGTCAGCGCCCGTGTCCCTGGACCTGCCCCTCACACTCCGCCCCTGCTGGCGAAAGTCCATCCCGTCTCAGCCTCCAGCCTCAGGCCAGAGGTCTCCGTCTACCTGCCCTCAACCTCATCCATATCTTCAGAGTTAATAAAGCCCCCCACACCGCTTTATCTTTCTGCTTCTCTGCTGCGCTGCCACCGCCATCACGGCCACCATCGCTGCCAATAAAACCTGGCACGGAGATTAAGAGCAAAGTATTTATTGGGGGAAAGAAATCTCTGTCCACAAGAGGGACAGAAGGAGACTCTACTGCGTTGCCAAGGACTGCCTTTTCTGGGATTTTATAGAGCAAAACCACAAGGTGAGCAGGTCTAAGGTTGAAAACATGAGAACTCACATATGAGGTGGGACAAAATTATGGTCCACTAATAAGATTAATTGCTTAGGTAAATTTGATTAAGTCAGGATCAAATGGGAAAGAAAACCAGGTAGCAAGAGGACAGGAATACAGTACAGGGGCTTTTGCTGCAGGGATTGGGTCAGTGACTCTGGCTTTTTCAAGGCTGTGGAGGATCACCTCATTGTCTCCATTTTGGCTGAGCCTGACCCTATTTCCTCGTATTGTTCTGTACAGAGCTGTTTAGGACTTCTGTTTATCCTTCAATTGGCCTTAAGCAATGTGTATTGGTCTAGCTGAGGTGCTGGTGGTAGTCTTTGCAGGTAGCGTGAGTGTTTCCTTGGTAACCTGTACCTGCTGCTCTTTAACATGAGCTGGGTTGAGACAGGACGAACAGCCAATGCTCCGTGCTGAAAGCTGGGATCGAGCCTCGAGACAGAGGCTATGACTTTCTGAGGCTTGAAAGACTACATCAAAGCTGAAGCACCTGACCCCCAAAACATCAGATATTATTTCAATAGCATAAAGCAGATTACTTTCTCTGCATATCCTTTCTGCCTATGACCGAGGTAAATGCAGGGCACCTATCTAGCCCAGCTCACAGTGCTCACCTACTTCCCATAATTCTCTTCTTCAAACCACTCCTCCTTCTCCACTAATTAAAACCCGGATATGGCCCTGGGTCACTCTCTTTGTTCCCAAAAGCCATCTTCATGGCTGGATTTAGGGCCCCTGACTCCCCAATAATTATAAATATGTTTCAGTGTCTTTACTTTTGCCATGGGTTGTACTGGGAGTGGTAGACTGGAATTAACTTGTTGGAATTCCAATAATGTATCTTTGGGATTACAAATATTAACTTCTTGGAACGAGAGGAGAAACTGGAGTGGACTCCTACCCAAGGTGACTGATACCTATCTAGAATATCAAGGGTTGGCCAGATAGCTCAGCGAATTAAAGTGCCTGCTTAGGCAGATGCAGGGGTTCGATCCCAGCATACCATGCAGGGCCACACCCCCAGGGCGCATTGAGAGGGCAACTGAGAGTGGGCTTGGTGGCATGTGCTTGTAATCCCAATGCTTGGGAGGCTGAAAAATAGGAAGGATCACTATGAGTTGGATCTGTGTAGTGAGAACCTGTATTAAATAAATTAAAAAATACATTAAAAAATAGAGAATATCAGTCCCTGATGCCCATCCCTAGATAAGTGTGTGACTGCATTTGTTTGTACTTTTATCTTGAAGTCTGAAGCACAGAGGGAGTACCCATCTCTCCCACAGTCGCAGGGTTGTCTTGTCTTCCATACTAGCTCCTTGAGGGCCTAGTTCTGTCCGACTGTCTATAATATTTTTACCTAGAGCTGGGGAGATGGCTCAGTAGAATAAGTGCTTGCCTGACCAGTGCAAGGGCCTGAGTTCAATGCCTGGTTCTGGAAAAAAAATATCTAACTCAGGTGCCTACAGCACTTTGTATAATCTGGACACAGTCCTTTGTCATATACATGTACTATACCTGTTTCCTCTCAGTTTCTTGCCAGTCTTTTTATTTCTTAGTATTTTTTAAAGAGTTGATTTTAACTTTGGTAAGCTCTAGTTCATGTCTTTAAGTATTATATTCTATTTTGTCCTCTCCAAAAAAAAGCTTTCCTAGTGCAACCGCATGAAGACGTTTTCTCATTTCGCGTTCTTCACGCTGGCGGCTGAGGTTCACAGCTGTGTGCAGAGTGACGGGCGCAGCCAGGGCCTCGCCCGGTCCCATCCAATCGTTCCAGGAGCATCCACTGAAAAGGCTTTCCTTACACATGGGCACTGGGACGGGGGATGGCCAGAAAGTGCATCACCTGAGCCTGGTGTCCGGCTGCCTCAGTGGGTTAGCGTCTGGGTGCTGACGCCGACCACACTGTCCCGGGTCCTGGAGCTCCCCCAGAGGCGGCCACCTGGAGAGACCCCTGCTGTGCACTTCAGTGAGCCTGGGCTTTCAGGTTTGGGTGCCAGGTGCTGCACGCAGCTGCATGCTGCTGGGGGTGTCTGGACCTCGCCGTCCCCCAGGCCCAGTGCTCAGGACAGCAGCTCCCGTAGGCACTGCTTAGTGTGAAGCGCAAGCGCCCATGGGGTATGGACCCAGTGGCCCTGTCCCTTCCATGCTAGTGCAGGGGGCAGAGCCAGAGACATGAAAGGCCAGAGACATCTCAGATAGTGCTTGTAAAAAACAAGACAGCAATCCTGGCAGCGCGTGATGGCAGTCTGGGCAGGCCTCTAGACTTCACTGGAAGGCCATGAGAGTGATACAGGGGAAAGAAATTTCTAACCTGAAAGATGCCTGGAATGAGTTCATGTTTTCTAAAACTGACAAATGAAGGTTAGGAACAATGGAGGTTAAGAGCAGAAGATTTATATTTTAAATATTTATTTATTTATTTATGTGTCTTTTCCAGACAGGGTCTTACTACACAGTTGAGGCTGGCTTGAGCTCACTTTGTAGCCCAGGTTGGTCTCCAACTTGCAAAGATCCTCCTGCCTCAGTCTCTCAAGTGCTGGGATTACAGGTTTGCACCACCAAAAGAGCTGAATATATTTAATAAGGGAAAGAAAACTTCTGTGTGAGAGAGGGACAGAAGGTGGCCTCAGTGGGTTGCTAAGAACATTCCTTTCTAGGGATTTTTATAGAACAAAACCATGAGGTGAGTCAGATCTAAGATGGTAAACATGGGATCTTGCTAGGTTGGCATGAAGTGGGAAAACACTGTGGTCAACCAATAAGGTTACAAGCAGAATTGCTCTCATAAAATTGATTAAATTGGGATCAAATGGGGGAAGTAAGTCATGTAACAAGCAGACATGAATATACAGCAGGAGATTTCCCCGTAGGGGGCTGGGTTAAGTGACTCTTCCTAGGTCTTACAAGGTGATTGATACCTGTTTAGAATATCCGTCCCTGATGTCCATACCTAGGGGTTGTGCAACTGCATTTGTTTAATCTTTTGTTTTGAGATCTGGTGTCCATCCCTCCCCCAGTTGCAAGGTGTCTCATCTTCCATACTGGGTCCTTTGAGGGCCTCGCCCTGTCTGACTGCTTGGGCTATTTCTAACTCACTGCCTACAATAAGAAGGCACAATTCTTTAGGGAGAGGGGACAGCTAAGGCAGGGTGTGAAGCATCTTTAGGTTTTATATCATAGCCGAAAGAGGCCACGTGGGCAGCTGGCGGCAGGGAGCGACAGGACGTGAGCCTAGAGAAAAGCTGAAAGCCAGAGTGTTCAGGGCTATAGCCCTTGGGGCGGCGTGGGCAGCACTGAGTGTGTGCCACGGATCTGAGCACAGCATAGTCTGCCTGCCTCATCTTTGGAGAGTGGACAGTGGGGACCAAGCGTGGAGCAGGAGCATCAGGAGGAAGCACATAAAGCTTCCCGCCCTTCTCTGCTCCGATGTGGACAGAAAGCAGCGTGATCTGCAGTGGACTGTGGAGGCAAAGTTGAGGTGGCTCAGCTATCTGCAAACATCAGGCCCAAGCCCACCTCAGGCTCACGGTGGACCCCAAAGGCCAGGATAACCCACTCTCTGCCGCGCTCAGGTGGGGATGCTGAGAATGCCAGGCCTAGGGCCAAACCCAAACGCAGCCAGAGATCAAGCTGAAAATACGTTTGCAAAAGAGGCTAAGAGCTGGAGTCTGTCGAGTGAGGAGGGAAGCAGGGAGGGAAGCGCTGCAGTGGGCACAAGCACACTGTTTCTTAGCATACGCAGGCGTGGAGCCCTTGCCAGGTGTCAGCCCTTGCTCGTGGATTCCCTGGCCAGGTACGTTTCTGTGTCACAGCTTCCCCAGCTGGGGGGTCTTGATACAGCCTCACAGAGTGGGCAGAAGGGGCAAAAGGATGTGGAGCTAGCAGAACACTGGGAGAGACTCAGGGAGGGAAACAGTGGGAAGGAGAGGTGACAGCCACCAGGAGAACATGCCTGAGTCAAAAAGCAAGGGCAGGGGCTGGTGAGATGGCTCAGTGGTCTAAAGCACCTACTTAGAACAAGCTTAGCAAAGCACAGGGACTGCGGTTCAATCCCCCAGCACCACATGCCAGCCAGCCCCGCCCCCTGGAGGGCTGAGCTGGCCACACACACACACACACACACAAACACACACACACACTAAATAAATAATAAAATAAATTAAAAAAAAAAAAAAGCGAGGGCAGTGGAGGCCTGGGGCAGAGCAAGCTGGGGGTACAGGGGGATGAGACACTAGACCCATAGAGAAGCGGATGCATCAGAGACAGGAACAACAGTTTGGGCTGGGAAAGAGTGCTCACAGAGGTAGCAAACGAAGGCAATCAAAACTGCAGGCAGAGAGGGTGGGCCGGGCCGGGCCAGGCCTCCTAGCTCCCAGCAGGGCCTGGGGAAAGTGGTGGTGAGGGCCAGTACAGGAAGCCACGGGCCCTGGACATTTAGCATGGAAAGCCCTGCCCCTGGACTCAGAGACCACCAGTGTCCACGCCCTCTTTCCCACAATGAGGCACCTTTACTTCGGAGTTGGGGCTGCAGACAAGCAAGGTACATGCTGGTCAGGAGTGGAACCCCACACCCCAGGCGTTGGTTTAGGGTGGCTCAGGCCAGGCCCCCCTGCTGGCTCTCCTCTTTCACCTGCCCAAGCCAGGTCTGCAGCTGCTGCAAGATGCTCTGTGAAGCGAGGACAATTCCAAGTCAGCCTCACTCCAGGAAGGAAGACTAGGGGAGCACGCGGCAGGGGGCTCCTCTCCCTCACCTGGCGAGCCTGGCGGAGGCTCATGGGGTCGGAGGGCCTCTCGGGGGCCATGTCTGCGCAGTGGGAGGCCCCAGGGATGAGCAAGGCTGCCCCTGAGGGGCCGGAGGCCTGAGTGACGCTCAGCACGTGCCAAGGGTCCATGTCGCCTGCAGGCAGGGATTCGAGTTGGGCTGGGCTGCACTAGGGAGAAGCCTGCAGCTGGATCGAAGGTGTTGCTCACCGTTGACAAACAGCACTCGGGTGGTTCCTGGGGCCTGAGCCCCATAGTAAGTATTCGTCTGAGCCACAGCACGGGCTATGGATGAGGCTGAGAGCCCGAACACCTGCTCACATAGCTCCACGTGTGAGGGCAGTGCTGGGAGCTGGGGGAAAGGACACTCAGGGTCCTCGCAGGTGACATCTGTGGAGGAACACACCTGTGAGTGAGGACACAGGAGCCAGCCCTGCCCCCCCAGGCCCTCTTTCCATGGTCCTCCCTGGAGATGAGATTGATGACCTTACAGTGTCTCCACCCTGACTTCCCCAGAAAGCCAGCCAGGGTCATGGGCTACGAAAAACATCGGCCAAGATGTAGGGGGTCCAGAGGGAGTAACATGGACTCAGGGGCAGAATCAGGAGGAGACGCAAACCAGCAGTGGGAAGAGAGAGCATAGAGGGCAGAAGACATGCCAAGGCCTGGAGGCAGGAGGGCAGCCTCGGGAGCGACAGTGCTCACGTGGGACCACGCATCTGCTGCCGCAGTCACAGCTCTTGGTGCCATCAGGGCACATCCAACCCGCCCCTCACGCTAATCCTTCCTTCCTGTACCACCTGTGAAGTGAGCAGGTGCTGGCACAGGGGCAACCAGAAGTCACAGGCTCCGCTGCTACAGGACGCAGGGAAATGGCACGACAGGGTGTTAAGAGGCCGGCTGTGTTCAGAAAGGAAGGCCCCAGCCACTGTCTCGGATCTCCAGGGTGACGGAGGGTGGGGGCTCGGGATCTTGTGGTGAAGGAGTAAACTGCGGCACCACAGAGGAAGGTGACTCCAAGCACAGTACAGCGTCCTTTGCTGCTGAGAAGACTGGCGCTAAGAGGGCCGAAATGCCTAAGGCCTTGGTGTAAGGGCAGCAAGCACCACCAGCACTTCCTGTGTGCCTCTGACTCTTACCAGGCTACATCTGTTACCCCCATCAATCCTCCAGGTGCCCTGGGAGGGAAGTTCTGTTCTAGTCTCATTTTCAGATTTGGAAACCCAGGAGGAGGAAAGGAACTGACTTGCCTGAGGTTGCAGGAGTTTGGGTAGAAAATGGAGCCAGAATGGGAACATTTTTACTGGAAGGCGCTAGCCTCAGTGTCCAAAGACTTGGAAAGGACTGTGAGCTTAACTTTAGGGTAGGGTGGCCAAATTTAACAAACACACAGGATACCTCCATTCAGATAGACAAGCCACTCAATACAGTATTTGGGACACCTTTATAGTAACACTGCTGGTGTTCGGAAATTCAGATTCAACTATGCAGCCTGCATTTCCTGGTCTCTTCACCACGAATCGTGGGAAAGGCATGGATTATTCTGAGGAAAGAAGCAAGATCATCTCTGGGTGCTGCGTGGAAGAGGGGGCCACAGGAGAAGTGACCCTGGAGATCAAGAGGAGGTGGAGGAAAGAGGAGAGGGTGGGGCGGGCCAGAGCTTGTTAGGCACAGAGGAGGGGGCCTTACTACAGACTATGTGGATAAGGAGAGGGGACTCCAAAATGGAGGAGGTGGTACAGACATGCCTCCACGGGAAGCCCTCGTGTGAACACACTCGTGTGAGCACACGTGCACGGCTGTTCACCTCGCCGGCCCAGCACATGTGGTTACACGAGCCTGGGAGTCAGGGTCGCTGTCCTGAGGCAGGTGTCTTCCCTGCACAGGCACAAAAGGTGTGCAGGGTGGGGTCGAGGCCTGTCACTCACAGAAGCCAAACTCCGTACACGTCTGGTACAGCCACTGCCGGTCACCCACGCCAGACACCTGGGGCTCCGTGGCCCGCAGCTGGGCGATGGTCTGTGCTCGGGAGGAGCTGAGACACCTCTGTCCCAGGCTGTGCATGGCCACCTGGGAACGGCGAGAGGACACATTTCCTCCTCTGCCCCAGGGAGCTGCCCAGGGGCCTGTCCCCACCAGCCAGGATGAGGGGAGTGAGTGGTCAGGCAGGGTGGCCCTTTATCACCTGCCAGCCCTTGGGCCAGGGATGAGCACAGGCCTAGCTTCCTTTTCTGTACTGGGGCCAGCTCAGCACATATCTCCCAGGAGTCAAGTGAAATGACAGGCACAGCATCTCTAACCACCCAGAGTCTACTAGGGCTGGAGAATGACAGCTGGATTGTGACCTTGGGCTCAAAGCCTGCTTGGGCCTGGTGCCTAGGCTGCATTTTTCATTCGTTCTTTAACTGCAAGGTGAACATGGGCACTTCTACAGGCCCAGAGGAGAGGACGGAGAAAAAAGGCAGCGTAGGTAACACTCATAATGTCTAAGGAATACAGCTAAGAACCTCATCCCTGAGGGCTTTGTGCCCATTTTACAGATGGAAAAATTGACTTAGAAGGGCTACTTGCTCACCTGAACTCAGCAGAGGAAGTGGAGCAAAAACTCTGGTCGTGTGTGTGTGTGTGTGTGTGTGTGTGTGTGTGGTGCGCGTGGAGCGTGTGCATGTGCACGTGGCCGCAGCGTGCTCACCTGAGCTGCCAGTCGCAGCCCGAAATACGCCTCGGGGTAGGTGCCATTGCGCGCGCCCTTGAGCAGGTCTCCGCAGAGCTGGCGCACGCCGAGCGGCGCCCCCGCCTGCCCGTCGTACTGCACCGCGCCGCCGACCAAGGCCTGCAGCGCTTCCAGCAACTCCGCGCGGTCCTCGGGGCGCGACAGGGACCCACAGGCGCCCAGCTCGGAGCGCAGCGCCGCCCGAGCCGCCCCGCCCGCGCGCAGCCGCCGCTCCACCTGGGCGAAGGCCGCGGACACGGCGGCCAGACACTGCGGGCGGGGCGAGCGTGGGTGCGCTTCCCAGGCCCCGCCCCGCCCTGCTGCCCGCTTCTGGGCTCAGGGCGTGCCTCCGGCGCCGCACTACCCCGTCTGGCCCCGCCTCCAGGTCTCGAGGCACCGCCGGGTCTGAGCCTCGGTCCCAGATCCCGCCCACAGGACGCCGCTCCCACCAGAGCCACCGCCCCTGCCCCACCCTCCCGGCGCGTCACAGGCCCCGCCCAGCAGGTGCCTCGCCGGGCCCGGCGCAGCCCGCTTTGGCCCATTCTACTCCGTGGTGTCTCTGCACCCCGAAACCTCGGGTCAGCAGTCCTTTCTCCGATAGATCACCCTGTCCCCCTCCTCGTCTCCTGGGTTAGGGCCGCTGCCTACCTCGGGAGACCCACCGACCACCGCGCTCGCCAGGCTTCGCGACACCACCTGGGTTCACGGGGGGAAGTTAGAGGGGTTTTAGGGGCGCAGGGCCCCGCTGCGCCGGCCTCGAGCCGCACCGCACGTACCGCGTTGTACTCGGCGAAGTCCAGCGTGGCCCGCACTGGGGCGGAGGAGGCCACGGCGGCGGCGACGAGGTGCGGGAGCTGGGGGCAGCGGAGGGTGACGTCCCCTGGGAGGGGACACGGCCCCGAGCACCCACACCCTCCCTCCCAGGGCGCCCCGGACCTTCAGCCGGGCCCAGGCTGCCAAGGCGCCGGCGTAGGAGCCCCCGAAGCAGACCCAGGCGCTGGCGGAGGTCACGTTGAAAAGGCGCGATAGTGCCAGGCGGGCCGAGGCCACGTCCGCCAGCCTGGGCAAGCGGGGCAGTCGTCGGGGTGCGGAGTCCGGGTCCCCGCGCTCGCCACTTCGCACCTCCGGAGCTCGCGCTAGATCTCCGGGAACCGGCCTCCCTCCCTCCCTCCCTCTCTCGGGAGAGCCCGCGGCCCGGGATCGGGCAAGAGGGAGCAACTTCGCAGCCCGTTTAGCAGACAAGTTGACAAATAAAGGGAGGAGTTGGTAAGCAGGAGGGACAGGGGGAGATAGGGGAACGAGGGGTCCCCTAAGAGGGCGAGCCAGATACCGGGAGAGTGGAGAGCCCAGAGGAAGACGGAGGACTAAGACTCCGACACCCCTCCTCACTGGCTTGCTGGCTACCCCACTTCTACCTAAGCAGCTGGGAGCCGGCTTGGCTGGTGGGGATGCAGGCGTGGACAGACCAGAGGGGTGAAGGGAGCAGGCGAGGGTGGCGGCACACGCGGGTGTGCAGCTTCTGGACACTCACGCATGACGGCTGGACAAGTAGCGCAGCTGGGCCAGGCCCAGGCCCCCCACAGGTACACTGAGGCCGTAGAACCGATGTTCCAGGCTTACCACCAGGGCGCCCCAGGTTGGGGCCAGGGCTGCAGGGTGCCCTGTGTTGAGCACAGGATGAGCTGGGTCCAAGGCCTGGACCCTCCAGCCTCAGGGTTGCACATACAGCTGCCTGACTCTTACCTGTCATCACAGAGTGGGGGCCCAGGCTGCCTTCACCCCCCAGGTGCAGGAATACAGGGGAGTCCTGGCCAGCCCAGTGCCGGTCATTTACCCAGTACCGCTGCAGAGGGAGGGAAGCAGGGTCTGGTCAGCGGCAACCACTCTCCACACCCTGAGCCCAAGCCTGCTAGGTCTTTCCCATGAGCTGAGCAGTGTTGCGTGGCTTGTGGAAGTGTCCGCTCCTTTCTCCCCTGACCTCCCGCAAAACCAGGGCCTTTGGGTCTGCGTCCTCATTCTGCAGTTCCAGACTGAGGGGTGCCTGAAGATTGGGGAATTTAGGGCCCAGTGGGCCCAGGAGGACTGACCTTTGCCCGTGTCTATAGAAGGGCACAGTGTAACAAGTTCGCCCTTTCATCCTGGAGCAGTTTCCAGTTGCCTTCTGCTAGTGTGCAGACCAGCTGGTGGGTTAGGGGTGAGCTGAAGGACGGTGGGGAGAGTCCAAGGAAGCACAGCAAGGGAGAAGTAAACATTGAGGAACTGACAAGGGGACAGTGGGATAGAAGAGCGAGGGCAAGCTAAAGAGTGGGAGAACAGGGCACTGACTATGGACAGGCCGGGACACCGGGGTACAGGGAAGGGCCAGGAGCCTAGGTCTCACCTGCAGGAAGGTGCGGCCGTCGGATGAGTTGAAGGGGTCCAGCGGCTGCTGCAGCCACCCTGCCCTGGCACCTGAGTCTGGGCCCGTGCTGGCCCGCAGCCACCGAACGTGCTCTCCCAGGCGCCGGAGGAGCAGGGCTGCTGGGCGGGCTGGGGCGAAGCGGGTCAGGCTGGCCCATGTCCCCTCAGCTGGGAGCCCGCTCAACAAGGCCAGGAGCAGGGTGTGCAGCCAGGGGCCTCCAGCCATGTTGTTGACGTGCAGTCCCTGTGGGCTCTGGGAACTTTATCCCAGGCCGGCCTGGCCAAGTCTTGCTTCAGCTCAGCTGTGAGGCAGAAGCTCGGGTTTCGACGCCTCGTAGGTCAGGCGTCCATAGGAATCGCTACAGCGGGACAGGATGCTGGGGTCTGCACCCTGTCTCCGCACCACCCCGCATCTGTTCTGGGTCCAAGCCTCTCCCAGTTGCCAGCCCTGGGGGTCTCGTCCTCAGCACCAGTCTGGGCAGCACTGTTGCCTGCACTGATCTCCCTGTCGTGCATTTCAGTCCTCATCCCTGGGCCCCCTCCCGTCCTGCAGGCTTCTGGGTGCTCTGCTCCCACATCCTAGGTGGCTGCTTTTCCCAGGTGTCCTGGGGAAAAAAAAACCTGGGGTCCCTCAGGCTCTCCTTGCTGCAGTGGCACCTCTGATGTCATTTGTTCAAAAAGGTCTTTCATGGTCAGTTTCGAAAATGTCAAGACCTGTGGCCCTCTTCTACTTCTCTAATTTTGTGATGTATTCCTTTTCAAGGTAGTTATCACTATGGGGAATATTCTATATATTTTTACATTTATGTGATCTTCAATCCTTGGTTCCGGGGTGGGGGGGGAGAATTTATGTGGTCATTGTCCTCTCTTTCACCAGGAAGTAAACACCATGACAATGGAGACTGTCATCTCCTTTCTCCAGTCATTTGCTATCCAGTCCTAAATCTGAGGACATAGCGGGCAATTGATAAACGTTTGCTACGTGAATGAATATCAAGTAGCAATGCTGGTTCTGTTGTAAAAATATACACAGGACTTGATGAATTCTCCCCACTTCCAGTGCTGGCAGTTCTAAGCCACTATCATCTGTTTTCTTGCTTGCATGTTTGTTTGTTTTGAGGCGGGGCCTCGCTGTGCAGCTCAGGCTGGCTTGCATCGTGGCAGGGCTCTGCTTCAGGCCTTTACCACCTCGCCCGGCTGCCATTGTCGTCTTGGACTTGGAGACCTTAGGTGCCTCTAGTGGATTGCTAATTGCTGGTCGGCTTGTTATGCCCAACTGAATTGAGCTAGCATGGAGCTGGGTGTGGGAGGCCCACCTGGAGATTGTCACCAGCAGCGTAAGAGGGAGCACAGGAGAGGCTGTGGAGGGGCTGTTAGGGATGCTGCTTGGAGTTGCTGTCAGAGCTGTTGGAAGCTGCTGGTTCTCTTGGGCTGTCCTGCTGGAGGACCTTGTCATGCTGGCTTTCCCAATGAACTGGGCTGCTCTCGTCACTGGAGGAGCTTGGGACCTCGTTGTCGCTCAGAATTGCTACAGTTCATTTTGGGGTATCTCTCTCTGGTCCTCATCTTGAGCATTGTTGCCTGGCTGTGGTGTGGAGGATGGTGCACTGCTCAGCCTCCGAGAGAAGCTTGTCACATTGACTTTCCTGATGGGAACTCAGCTTTTCTCAGCACTAGAAGAGCTCAGGGCCACACTGTCTGTGAGGATGGCTCTGGTACTTTTGGGGGAGACTCTCGTTCTGACTTTGAGCCTTGCTTCCTAGCTCCAGTTCAGATCCTTCATCCTGCATGCATAGACTTTCTAACTTTACCAGTGACCTTTGGGCCTTCCCAGTGCAGATCCTCAAAATGGGCCTGCATGAGACACTGTCATGGGCTCTCGGTCTCCAAGTGGACTTGGGAGAGGCATTCTTATGGGCTCTAGGGCTTCAGCTGGGCTCATGCAGGATATTAGGTTCCAGGCCCTCAGCTGGATTCTTTGGTCTTTAGTATGTGGACAGGTTTCCTGTACTTTGTATTGATTCTTTGGGTGAGTATGAAATAATCCTATAAAGCGTGTCTGGGATTGTATTGTTCTCTTGCAAGAATCCCAAATCATGACAGAGCCCCTTGAATTGTCTTCCTGTTCCTGCTTATGTCCCCAAAGCTCTCCATGTCTGTGTGCAGTCAGTACTCATTCCCACCCTCTCCCAGACACCACTAATTTTCCTTTCTATGGATTTGCCTGCTCAGTACATTTCAGATGTGGTACCAAGACCGGGTCTTTCATGCTGAGTGCCGGCGCCTTCTTATTTTGCGAAGGATCACACTACGTTTTAGGGCCGGGCCGACCCTTCTGATCTGCCTGCCTCAGGCTTGCAGAGTGCTGAGACTGCAGGTGTGTGTCGCCACGCTAGGTGAATGTGTCTGCTTTTAGGTTTGGCTTCTTTCCGCTTTGCATGTTTTTGAGGCTCATCAATACTGTAGAAGGTAATACTTTATTTTTTTATGACTGCATATTCTAGTGCATGACATGTATATATGGCATTTTGTTTATCTATTGATCAGTTGATGGACATTTGAATTATTTTCACTTTTTCCTATTATGAATAACTTTGCTATAATCATTTATGTATAAGGCTTTATGTAGAGCCATGTTTTAATTTCTCTATGTGGGGTTGCTGGATTTTATATTAAAATTATATATAACTTTGTATTTGTTTATTTGGTTTTTGAGATGGGATCTCACTACGTAGTTAGGCTGGCCTTGCATTTAGGGTGATCCTCCTGCCTCAGGCTCCCAAGTGCTGGGATTACAGGTGTGCAGCACCATTCCTGGCTAGATAGAATTTTTTAAGAAATTGATGAGCTAGTTTCCAAAGTGGCTGTACTATTTGTGTCACTGCTCAGACTTTAGAAACCAGAAGCAATCAGGAAGGCCACAGCTTCACACGTGGACCCCCGGGAAGGTGAGGCCTGAGACACCAGGGCAGTGTCGAGGACTGACACTCGAAGTGGCTGGCTGTGCCCAGGCTGAGATGGACCCGTTTACTGCAGGCCATGCCTGCGGTTGAGTTCAGCGGGTCACACTCACCGAGGGTGCAGTCAGGAGATTGCTTAGGAGGGACAGAAATGTCCTTAGATTTTCAGTCAGACCCTCTGTCCAGTTCGTGAGCTAAGTTCTCAGATTGCTTTGCTTGTGTTAGAAACCTCTCATCATTTTCATTGAGAGTTTAATAAGGCAAAGAAGATGTCTCCTGCAGCCTGTGACCACACGAAGGTCTGTGGGCTGTGGAGTGGCTGAGTAGCTCAGCTGCACCTAACAGCTGGAAAGTCTCCAGCTCGCTTCCAGCACATCTTGCTCCTCTGAACTGGTGCAGTGGGCGTCATCTCTGGCCCTTAGCTGTGAAAGAGACAGTAAGGAGGCCCAGGAGCTGTAACTTGGCCCCAAGTGACTTGCCTTTCTCACCGTCCCCAGGGGGGCACCCATGTCCTCCCCAGGCAGAAGGCACTGTCATCTGTGCATGTGGATTCTCAAGGCCTCAACTAGAGCACTGGGACCTTCACCTGACAGGGTGCAAATGACCGTGGTCTTTGGTTTGAGTGTTTCCAAGAGACCCTGATTTTCTCCCAGCTCCTTTCACCCTGCTCGAGGGTGGGAAGCCACAGCTGCAGCACAAAGGAAGGCCTATCTGTGCAAAGCCGCACTCTGCACCGCCTGCCCCAATCCCTCCGAGTTTTTCCAGGGTCGCAGACTCCATACTTGTGAGAGAAGCTGTTGCATTCTTCTCCAAAGCTCCGTGTCCTGGAAGGAAACCGAATCCAGGGGAATTGTTATCGTGCAGCTCCTGGTCTGCACCTTTTTAGTGCAAGCCAGAGACCCGAAAAAAAACCCAGACTACAAAAATAAGCTCCGGACTCCATCTGTAGTGCCTGCAAGGCTAGCCCTGGAACGGAGGCAGGTGTAGGTGGCGAGGGGGTGAGGAGCTGGAACTGGCGAGAGTGGCCTGCGACCGGAAGGTCCAGCGCCTGACTCTGGCTCTCTGACATCCGGCCGGTCCGCTCCAGGGGTGCAGGCAGGAGTGGTCTCAAGTGCTCTGGCAGAACAGGAAGAGCGCGGGAAGCAGGGGTGGGTGGGAGCAACTGATGGGCGGACAGCTGGCTTTAGCCTAGGCTGAGACTGTAAACAACCTTTGGCATATTAGAACAGAGTGGCATCTTGAGGTGGCTGGTTAGCTCAGTTGGTTAGAGCATGGTGTTAATAATGCACAAGGCTGTGGGTTTGATCCCTGTGTGGGCCAGAGCAGGCTTTTTACCTCGTGAAGGAAGTGAACGAGGTAAAGGGCTCTTACTGGCAGCGGCGTGTGTTTAAGTCTCTTGTTCATCCAAGATCTTCGTTTCGTTAAACACTCACTTTCCTTCAGTGGAGTGACTTCACCTGCTATTCCTGTAGCGCGCTGGCTCTCCACACCCAGGTCCTCTGCACTGAAGGGCACCTCTGGACTGATTTCTTTCCTTCAGGTTTTTTCTTACACGCCACCAGCATTCTCCCTCTGACAGAAGATCCAACTCAATCCTGATGTCCATCCCCGACGGTTTTCCTCCTTAACATTTGCCATCATGTGATCTAATATTTTATAAATGCCTTATTTTAAAAATTCTAGGGTCGGGGAGATGGCTCAGTGGAATAAGGGCTTCCTGGCAAGCGCAAGGGCCTGAGTTCAATCCCGGGAATTCTATACTCTTCCTACTACAGAGAGATGTGATTTTTTTTTTTTTTTTTGTATTTGATGTGTAAATATCATCCTAGTGTTTAGTAAGCGTTAGACACACAGAACACAACCATGCAGTTCACGCTGGCCTTGAATTCAAGGTGATCCTCCTGCCTCAGCCTCCCCAGTTACAGGCCTGCAGCACCACACCCAGCTGATCTCTGTTTTAGCAAATAGGGACGGTTGGGGATCAGTCAGTGTCTCAGGGTCACCTCTGAATATCTCTGTCTGCTTTCTAATTATCTTTGCTTCCCCCCACCCCGTTAATATTACTACAAATTTATTCTTTTTTTTTTTAAGTTCCAGGGAGTCTTTATTAAAGATATAAATTTGAAGTCAATGTATAAATGATACTTGATTGAACGAAATAAAAATAACTGAAGAAAATGTTTTTGAACTTTTGTGGTTTTCCATCAAGGGAGCTGTTTTAAAATACCTGTTATTGCCGGGTGTGATGGACATGCCTGTACTTCCA